AGATACGAAGGAGATGAGGATACCCCTTACTAAGATGAAATATAATTCTGAAAGGAGCTTCGAAATCTAAGGCTATGTTTAGTTTGTGATCCGGAAACAGTTTTTTATTCTCAAAATTTCAATAACACCCAAAACATGTTTGTTTAGCATTTTTGTTCTCTAAATTTTCGGAAAAAATGAGATTTGAGTCAAAGAAACAGAAAACAAGTGTAACTTGTTTTCAGAGTTTTCTTTGAAAATTTTCGAAACAAGGAGAACAATATTGGATGTTCAAATATAAGTATATATATATACATATTATATATATAATATATATCTTATATATAAACATATTTATATATATAATATATGTATATATATATAATATAAACATATTTATATATAAGATTTATATATGTATAATACATATATATATTATGAAATTGTCAATATAAAAATAACTTTTTTATATTTTCTTATTAATGTTTGAATTACTGTTCAAATATATATTTACGCTGTCCAAACAGGTTTTACTATTTTCTGTATTGTAAAATTGTTTTTGAAATCATCTAACCAAACAAGTTTTTTATTTCAAAAAATATCAAAATCATTTTCTTAAAACTCATATCAAAAACTGTTTTCAGATACTATTTTTGAAACGCAAACCAAACAGGCCCTAAAATTCTTCCTCCTTTTCCCTGAAATATTGGTGTCATTCATAAGGGGATGATAGTGGTTTAACTCGTCTAGAACTTAAATAAGCTGAAGTATTGAAAATAATTTTCCTTCTTGTTTAAGAAGNCAGGCACTCGTAAACGTTATCGTTGTTAAAATTCCGCACTCATTCACTATTTAGCTAGTACTGTTGTCACTTTTTGTGAGTTCTTACCATATTTCTCGATTACCACCTCTCTTAATCTCGACTTTAGAATGACACCATACTTGACTTCCCCTCCCTTTTTAATTACCCTCTGACATTTCACCATTCTTATCTCCTTCTCCATCTTTCATATTATTTTCCTCTATTTCCTATCAAAACAAAGAGAGAAAATTACTATCCTCCGCAGGTCCCTTAAGGTGTACTCTCCATCCGAGGTGAGTCGTTGAGATGCTTCACCATCCTCATTGCCATCTTCTTATCGCTTTGCGTAAAGGTACCTGATCTTGTGTGAATGATTGTGCTATTAGTCATTTTGTTTCTTATGATGTCTTATTTGTTGTCTTCATTTGTTTACCATCTTAGTTCTATAGTATTTTTATTCCTTAGACATTGCAAGGGGCATTATTTCATCTAAGTTGGAGGAAAGCTATGGAGACATAGATGGATGCTTTACATCATAATAGAACTTAGAATATTGTTCCATTACCGAAGAGGGACTATTGGTTGATAGTTGTTTTATACAGTGAAGTTTAACCTTTATGGTTCTGTTGAACATTTAGCAACACAACTAGTTGCTAAGGGGTTTATTTAAACCTATGATATTGATTTTGTGGAGATGTTTATCATGTTGCAAGATTTCCTTGGTCGTTGCTAATCTTGATTGACTTTTGTTTTAGTTGGAAGTTGAAAATGTCTTCTTGTATATGTTAAAAGTAATGTAAAGAGGAAGAGAAGAAATAAAGAGGAAAGAAAGAAAAGAGATACAACTGAAAAGAGGAGAGCATTAGAATTCTCTCCCTCCGTCACTTATATTTATAGCTCAAATATTAAATTGAGAAAAGTACCCTTCATAACAATAAACATAAAAATAAAAGGCTAAATAGCTTCTAAAAGTATAGGGACTTGGCTGGAGAGGTTTACATGGAATAGCCACCTTTGCTTGTTGCATGGTTTGGTAAGGTTAAAGGTTGTTTTATGTTTTCGTCTCACCGGTTATCAAACAAATCACTCAATTAGTCCTTCGACATTTGGGTTCAAGCAATATTATACTTGTAGTATAGGTGGATGATGTAGTATAGGTGGATGATGTGATTATTGGAGATGATTATGAAGGCATTGCTTATTTAAAGGCTTTTCTCCAAAATTGATTTCTTGCCAAGGATATAGGAAAACTTAGGAAATATGCACAACAAGACCAATTGACGTTATAAAGGATCCAAATCACATACTTTTTTGATAGATGTAGGTATTTTGGAGATCCTGGTGGATGTTCCTGGTTGGTTAGAAAATTGCATTGCCCCATTGCTATAGGCTAGATGTTGCATATGGCATAAGTGTTGGGAGTCAGTCAAGGAACTAAATTTTGTTTTGAAATAGTCAAAACGTTTTCGTTTCCATGGAAACTGAAACGAATCATTCATTGAATATCAAAATTCCTATGTTTCGAAGTGTTTTAATAAGTTTCGAGGTTTTTCAGTGAGTTTCAAGGTGTTTCGGTTGGTTTCGAGGTATTTCGACATGTTTCAACTTATATTTCGGTATGTTTTGACCAATGTTGCAGAAATAAATTTTTAAAATTTTCTTTATTTCTATCTTGTTTTCAAAATGTTATTGAAACGTTTCTATTTTCAAGGTGAACGAAACTATACACCAAAACGAAATTTTGATCCTTGGAGTCAGTTGATCGGAACACCTAGACTATCACATTGGGATGTTGTTGTTTGTATTCTTCGATACCCTAAACGAGCTCCAAGACTGTGTGTGGTTGTATCGATCGAATGAACATCTTGTAGAATGCCGACTATGGCTACTCTATTTCTTAGGACGTCATTGGGTTTCTTGGAATAGTAAAACGTAAACTGCAATAGTAGGATTTTTTGTGTATAAGCTAAATATAGGGTAGCGACACACCCTATGAGCGGGTTACTATGGCTTAAACACTTTCTTCTAGTTCACCCACTTCCTCAGTTGTTTTGTAATGAAAAGGCAACAATTAGATAGCTATCGTGTTGTTCAATCTGAATTGATTTACAGTTATCAGTTCATAGGGCATAACTACACCATTTTTGTGAAATCTAAGAATGTGCTTGCCTTTATGTTCACTAGGGCATTGAGTCGTACACTTTGGATAGTTATTTGTTTTTGTTTCATTCTTGGATTATATGATATCTGTACTCAAAAGAGGTCACCAAATTATTGTCTTCAATTGCAATGGTGTGTGATGTGTAGAGGCGATAATGAGAGTGTGGATCATTTATTTTTGTATTGAATTACGGAGCAAGTTTTTTGACCTTATGGGCCGTGCTTGGGTTGCTCTAAGGAATATGAATTCTATGTTTTGTTTGAATGATGTGAGTGTGGGAGAAATACAAAATGGAAGACTATTTGGCACAACGCTTTCTTTGTTACGTTATGAGTAATTTGGAAGGAATGGAATATGAGGATTTTTCAAGATAAATGTGANCTGTTTTCGAAACTGGCTAAACTAATTTTGAAACGGGTCGAAAATTTTTTATTTCCTTAGTGACCGAAATAATGCACCGAAACAAAATTTTGATTCTTGAGTCACATGACTGAATCAGATGTAGCCACATCAAAATTTGCATGATCGCATATGAATATAAGCCTGATTGATTCTCCCGTGGCTTGCCATGCAAGATTATAGCATTTATTATCTGTATGATTTTCACAACCACAAAATGCCATGAACTTTGCCATGGTCATAGGATGTTGTACTCAAAATCCATTAGTGAAACTACCTTGGTTATCATGAAAAGCACCTTGAGTACTAAGAACACGACCTCTAAAGAACTATGGTGAGTAGCAAGACCAATCAATGTAGAATTATCTTTGCCCTGTTGGGTCAAGATGAATCTGAATTGGGCGAGATACGAAGGAGATGAGGATACCCCTTACTAAGCTGAAATATAATTCTGAAAGGAGCTTCGAAATCTAAGGCTATGTTTAGTTTGTGATCCGGAAACAGTTTTTTATTCTCAAAATTTCAATAACACCCAAAACATGTTTGTTTAGCATTTTTGTTCTCTAAATTTTCGGAAAAAATGAGATTTGAGTCAAAAAAATAGAAAACAAGTGTAACTTGTTTTCAGAGTTTTCTTTGAAAATTTTCGAAACAAGGAGAACAATATTGGATGTTCAAATATGAGTATATATATATATACATATTATATATATAATATATATCTTATATATAAACATATTTATATATAAGATTTATATATGTATAATATGTTTATATATAAGATATATATTATATATATAATATGTATATATATATATATAATATATATATTATGAAATTGTCAATATAAAAATAACTTTTTTATATTTTCTTATTAATGTTTGAATTACTGTTCAAATATATATTTACGCTGTCCAAACAGGTTTTACTATTTTCTGTATTGTAAAATTGTTTTTGAAATCATCTAACCAAACAAATTTTTTATTTCAAAAAATATCAAAATCATTTTCTTAAAACTCATATCAAAAACTGTTTTCAGATACTATTTTTTGAAACTCAAACCAAACAGGCCCTAAAATTCTTCCTCCTTTTCCCTGAAATATTGGTGTCATTCATAAGGGTATGATAGTGGTTTAACTCATCTAGAACTTAAATAAGCTGAAGTATTGAAAATAATTTTCCTTCTTGTTTAAGAAGGAAGACGCTTTCATTCAAGTCATAAACTCGGGAAACATTAGAGCCATACACTTGAGAAAAATTTGTCTCCATTGCGTATATCACATGAACTGTCTCCCAAGTCTTCTTGACACCATCTAAGAACAACACATTAGAACTAACTGATGCTTCCATACTATACATAGCAATGAGATAACCTCACAATTTTCAGAATCCCATTCGTCGTATTCTTTACAGTGTTTCAAGGGACGACCATGCAATACAAACTTCAATTTCTTTCTGGCACTCCTCAGCGTTACTCTCACTGTTTGTGCCCACAAATAATTGTGTCCATTCAATTTCATTTAAGTAAGCTACTTAGTGACTGAATCCAAGACACTTCGTGGCTTATTGCCCTGGTTATACATGATTGCCTTTTTAATGAGGCTTTTGGTATCGACCTACCTGGTCTTCCAGTCCCAACACCTACAAGAACCCGTTAAGGGAGGCCTGTTAGGTAAGGGGGGTGTGGACTGTTCAATTCATTCAAGGAAACTGTTTGTCCTTCATAGTTTACCCATTGATGCGACAGCGATAGACTCGGATTCACAGACTATCCTCCCCCAAGTGCACCAAGCGTCAACAATAGAAACAACACCAACACTTTTCAATACACATCAAAGTAAAGAAAAAATAGGGTTATGGGCACTTCAAAACTGCAAACAAGTATAAAATCAGTGCATGCCAATAAGCACCATCTCTATACAGAGTTCAATGCACCCAGCCCTCTGGACAGTGAACAGTACCAAGTATCTGATGAACATTACCTGTGAACAGTCCCTTACTGACAATGAACGGTGTCTGTTTGGCTCAACCTCCTTCAGGTTTTGCTTCAATTCTCGGACTTCATTAGTGACTGATTTGACCTTTATTTGACTGTTTTGTGAGAAAGCAAGAAGAAAAAAAAACCCTAATGCTCTGAAACATAGAAATAGGAGAGAGAGAATGAATTTTGGAACATTAAGAGGACAACCCTAATGAGGGCTGCTACTCATATTTTTATTGCAAAACTATTGGCATTACCTAATGCTGAGATAGTATTTTAAGCTAACACCGCAACTTAAATAACTGACATTACCTTTTGGTTGAAACTTTAGCAAATGTGCTATTAAAGTTTAAAACCTAAAACCTGAAAGCTAGTATTTACTTATCAAATAAAAGAAAACCTCCGATCAAGTACGTGTATATTTCTTTGTTCGAGTTTTATGAGGTCTGGTGCTTAGTTATGTATTTCTTCTGAAAGGTTTTTAGATTGTTGACAGATTGTTTTTTGTTCATGCTTGCCTCTTTCACTGCCTTTTGAATGATTCTCACATCAGGTGATCGACGTCGGCTCTTGTTACGTGGGCTTACTCAATCTTTGCCTGAAATTTTTCCATTGCTATACACTGTAAGTTGTAGTTATGGCCATCAGTATAAGTTACATGTTTGCATTATTGTGATGCCTTTTTATAATTCAGTTATTAGAGAGGCATTTTGGAGCTGCAATGAGTGAAGCAGGTAGGCAACAACTAGACATTGCAAAACAGCATGCAGCAACAGTTACAGCCACCCTTAATGCGGTTAATGCATATGCTGAGTGGGCACCATTATCTGATCTTTCAAAATATGGAATAATCCATGGGTATGATTTCCCTAGCTTTCCTATGCGTAGGCTGGTGTAAATTTTTTGGTATGGAGAATTTTATTCTCTCTCTTTCTCTCTCTCCCTCAATAGCTGTGGTGTCTTACTCTCTTCGCCCGATTTCCGCCTTCATGCATGTGAGTTTTTCAAACTTGTCTCCCCAAGGTACGTGACCAATTTATTTTTACTGATTCATCTGTTGTTGTTGAGCAAAAGATTTTTACGACGAATATTCTTATTGTGGACTGTGGCTTGCAGGAAGAGACCTCTTGATGCAGCATCTGAATTTGATTCTGCAATACATAGTATCTTTAAGATCTTGATGAGTGTCTCTAGAGATTTCTTGTACAGATTTAGCTACGGTGCTGGTGTTGTCGATGAGAGTGAATTTGAGTTTGGGGAGTATATATGTGAGAGTATGGTGTCTTTGGGCATTTCAAACTTGCAATGTTTGGCTGGTGATAGCACGCTGCTTTCTTTTTATTTGCAACAGGTGATTGATTGGTCTTCAGCTTTACATATAAAGTAATTAAGATATATTGCTTGTTGTCATCTTTTTCCCNTTTCAAACTTGCAATGTTTGGCTGGTGATAGCACGCTGCTTTCTTTTTATTTGCAACAGGTGATTGATTGATCTTCAGCTTTACATATAAAGTAATTAAGATATATTGCTTGTTGTCATCTTTTTCCCAACTCTTAGATTGATCTAGCTAGCCATTTATCAAGTTAGAAATCCAGACTCCCGAATACACTGTTATAGTGATTTGAAAAAATAACTACTTTCGAAGGTTACGTGTCTCGTTAGGATTTCTAATGTATATAGTGGCATATTATGTGAGAAGTTGGCCCATGGAGTGGTTTGGGAGCCTCGGTGCTACAGAGACTTCTTCAATTGGGAGTTGTAACAAACAGTTCCTTCTTAGAGATTTAGACTTGTTATATGGAGCTCAGACCTAGTCTAGAATGATGGAGAAATGGAGATGGGAGCTATCTAACAATGGCATCTTTGAGGGTGTTTAAGCCTTTTTATAGCGTTTTGGTGGGGATGGTTTTGTTACATCCTTTTGGTGAAGGGCAATGAAATGTGAAGCACTCCATTTTTTTCCACATGGATGGTGGATTTGGATGGTTTTGTCACGTTTAATAATTGTGGGTAAAGGGGTAAAATCTTCCCAACTTGGAGTATCATGTGTACAAAAATGGAAGAATCCATCAATTGCCACCCTTGTTATCTCGATAGCAGGGGATATTTCGATCAAGTATCAAAATTTCATTTCGTTTTTACTTGTATCGCTCAAGAGAAATGACATAGATAAGATCATTATTTAAAGAGTTTCATTGTCGAATTGATTTTGGAATTGGATCCCAATAGTAGCTGCTACCTGAAGGTTCTTTATGAAAGCCGGTCCATAGCAGTGAAAGTAGGATTGATTCCGTTGATCGAATGAAAATCGCTTCTTGCTTTTTTTTGCCTAGATGCTTGACTATTCTTGCTTGCTTAACATAAGTTTTATTTGACCTTCATAGACCACTTCACTTTCAGCAATCTTTAACTTGAAAACAAGAAGCAACGGATTGAGCTGTGCAAACGTAAGGCATCCGTTTTCTTGCAGGGCCTTTAGGCTTGACTAATATAATCAGATAGGATTTTTCTCGCTTATTTGAAATTATATAAGACTTTCTTCAATTGGCAAGTGATGGATCGAAAGTTTGATAGGTCTTTAAGAGATAGGGTCTCCGGCTGAAGAAAGAGTCACTCAGTAAATCGGTGGATTACACACTTAGAGACAGGGAGAGGGGCATGCCTTACTCTTTAGAAATTATACAAGTGTTGAAAGAGTGAAGTATGGGACCATGGTAAACATGAGGAATGGGACCTCTAAAATGCCCTACTAAAGAAGTTTGCAAGCAAGAGGGACATGTTGAACACTACGTTTCCAACTAAGTCTAAGGCAAGGACCTTTAAGTGACGATGCGTTCCATTGTCAGCAAGCGGTGGTCGACAAGACCTTTTTTCCTAAATATTTTGGGAGGTGAAGAGGATAGGTTTGAAACCCGTACTATAATGTTCTCCCGAAGGTAGGCATTTACCCAAAACACTGATCTTCTGAGTCTTTCAATTACACGTGTTTTAGGAAGTTGAATGTATCAATTTTGGTGAAAATCAAAATGAATCGATGATTGAATATTGCAATTCTTAAGCAGTATTTAGAATGTTTTGGAACGTTTTGAGATGTTTTGGCCAATATTTCCAATATATATTCGGAATTTTTGCTATGTTATCATTTTATTTCTGTAACATTTCTAAAATGTTTTCCTTTTTGAGCTAATCAATACTATGCACTGAAACCAAATTTTGATATTTGGTTAGGATGCTTGTTTCTCTTTGTTTGGTGTTTCATGATTCTACTCAAAAGGATGGTGGACCTGTTTTAGTGCTGGAGGAAAGTTTGGGATAAAGGTGTGGCTTGAAGGTTGGGTAATGTCCACCCTTTGTGTATGGTGGAGCTTTTGGTTGGAGAGGGATTGGTGGTACTCCGACTGAGAAGAGGCATTGGTTTTGGACCTAACATGAGCTTTCTTAGGCTTCTATTTTATTAGCACTTGGGGAGCTCTTTTCACTTTGGATGGTTTTGCTTACTATTTGAGAAGCTTGGGGGATTAGTTTTTTTGTAGTCTTTTGATGTTTTGAGCTCCCTTGGTATTGCGTATTGTTATTGTGTTCCTTTCACTTTTTTGCTTCTCTCTATGTACCTATTTGTTGCCCCCTTGGCGTCATTAGCGCTACTTTATTNTACTTTGGATGGTTTTGCTTACTATTTGAGAAGCTTGGGGGATTAGTTTTTTGTAGTCTTTTGATGTTTTGAGCTCCCTTGGTATTGCGTATTGTTATTGTGTTCCTTTCACTTTTTTGCTTCTCTCTATGTACCTATTTGTTGCCCCCTTGGCGTCATTAGCGCTACTTTATTTAAAAAAGGGAAGCCCAATAATGAGGTTTCCACAATTGTGGGGTGGGGAAGGGTCACATGTATGCAATCTTACCCTATGTATCGAGAGACTGTTTGCATTACTTGAACCAGTGGTTTCTGGGTCACAATAGAGTAACCTTGCACAATTGCTACTTTATTTATATCTATCAAAAAAAATTGTTATTCTTTGTAATGGTTGCTTGATATCAAGGTAGGAGTACCAATNCCCACAATTGTGGGGTGGGGAAGGGTCACATGTATGCAATCTTACCCTAAGTATCGAGAGACTGTTTGCATTACTTGAACCAGTGGTTTCTGGGTCACAATAGAGTAACCTTGCACAATTGCTACTTTATTTATATCTATCAAAAAAAATTGTTATTCTTTGTAATGGTTGCTTGATATCAAGGTAGGAGTACCAATGGAGCTAACACAAGTATACATGGTTCTTTTTTGACAGATAGATTACCATGAGTCTCAACAAGCAGTTTCGTAGATCTTGCTTGATTGATAAGAAGGGCGGGAAACATTCATTAACAAGGGAATCAAAATTGAAGAACAAATGAGTAGGGGAGATTTTCCCACCTTAAGACCGTTGAATATCTCTTGATATTAAATAATTAATTGCCACAAAAGCCAGATATCACACTTTACAGATGAAGAATTTAATAGAGCATTGATACAGATTAGAAGAGTTGATGCGGGAAATCCTACTTGTCTGATTGAGGACTGTCGCTTGGTCCGTTCTTGACCTAACCGGCCCTTTGAATGACCAATGGCAGGAGAGAAAGATTTGATAGATTAGGATCGATCTCCCCTGCAAACTATCCCTTCTTTCAAGATCAGGTCNCGCTTGGTCCGTTCTTGACCTAACCGGCCCTTTGAATGACCAATGGCAGGAGAGAAAGTTTTGATAGATTAGGATCGATCTCCCCTGCAAACTATCCCTTCTTTCAAGATCAGGTCAAGGTTTTTATTCCAATAGAACTCCCATCGCTCTATTTCTTCTTCCTCTTCAAGCTTATCTTTCTTTTCTTGATTGAAGAAGAGCTTCAATTCCTTACACTCTCGCCACAGATTCTACTGACAGTTCAGTCACTACTAAAATAGAATTAACTAAGAATTCAATTGATTTGACTTCTTTCAATGAGAGTTTCCACTTTCCCATTAGAAGGGATTGGCGCCTACCATAAACTCCCACTAATGAACTTCTTTTACCTTTACAAAACCAAGAAAGTAAGTGAGAGGAAGTGGAGTTTTCATTATACTGGATGGAGAATCGATAGATCTCTTCCCTATTATCGACAGATAGACTTATACTTCTTTTCTTCTTCCTGTTGAAAGTTCTCTCTTCATTGATTGATTTCATTCCCACTGAGAGAACTAAAAGAGAGAAGGTACCCTCTACTTAAAAGGAAATACTGAAAGAGATAGTGAATTGAAGGCTCAAAAGGTTTAATGATTGTTACTTATCAACCGGCAGACTCGCTATCAGCAACTACAACTTACAAGACGAGAGCTAAGCTCTTCGGCCGCCAACCAATCCAATATGTCATTGCTATCCCTTCCTGATGAAACTTCCTTTGCTTTGAATGAATGATGAACAAAGGCGCATGCAAGAGAAAAGAAAGCCCCTATTTGGGCATGATGCCTAGTACATTGATCTATCAGAGACCTGAAACTCAAGTTTTTGGCTATTGAAAACTCAAATCATAGAGATGAACAAAGCCATATAGCTTCTCAGTAAAAGAGGAACTCACCTTTGCCAGCCGGCTTGTACTGCTAAAGGATTATGGAGATGAATGCCCGCAAATCGAGGTTGAGCTGGTGGCCAATGAGAATTATACTTTGGTAACCAAACTTGTGAAAGGGAGGGAAAAGCACCAACAAGCAATTTTTAGAGACTTTTGACTGGTGAACTACTTCCTATTTGATTGCTTTAATAAAAATCCTCTTACTAAATCCAAACGGCTAATGTTGGATAGACCCTTGCTACAGATAAGAAGAATGCATACTGACTGAAAAGAAAGGAAACAATAGAGTACAACAAATTCACCCGAAGAGCTGCTATAGAAGAGAAAAAGCTACTCTATTATACTGACTTTAGTTATTAGCCTTCCAAATATAACATTTAGTTATTGTTTACTCCAGTTTACAAGGTGGAGCAAGCATTCCTGGCAGTTGGAAGAAAGTTGTAATGATGTAACTAATGTATGTATTGCTTCTCTTGGAATAAATCATGCAGATTGTCTAGTCTTTAACTGAAAAATAGGGGCCAATGACAATCTAGCTAGCAGGCCAGGCGTGTTGTGACCATGGGGGAAATGAACCTTCTAACTGGCAAGCCAGGAAGGCAGTATCAAGATCTAACTATGTTCTCCATTTTTTAAAATCCTGGTGTTATCATGTATATTATTACGTAACCCATTGTAAATGTTTGCTAGTTCAGATTGTTATGGATTCTTGTAAATTGTAAACGAGTTGTCCGCTTTGTGCTCAGGCTGTGTTATCTGTTTCTTCCTCTGAATGATGGCGTGAAATTAAATTAAGCAGTTGCAATCTAATCTTGTAATATCTTTTCAGATGCTGGGATTTTTCCAACACTTCAAGCTGGCACTTCATTACCAATCTCTATTATTTTGGCTGGTATGTGGAAGCTTCTTGCAAATTACTTCTTATAGGTATTCAATAAAGTCTGCCTACCTCCTACATTTCTTCAATCATCTGTCATGTTTGCTTCCTATGGTAGGCACTTATGCGAGATTTATTGTCCAAGCCGAAGACTGTTCCACATGCAGCTGGAGACAGTTCTGTAAACCATCTAAGCTCTAGTTCAGGAGAGGTTGATAATGAAAAGAAAAAGATTTTAAGTTTTGTGAATGATGATATCTGTAGTGCTATATTGGATATATCTTTCCAACGGATGGTCAGGAAAGAAAAAGTTCATCCTGGAACTGTGCTTCCTGTTGGGATGTTGGAATTATGGAGTGATGATTTTGAGGGCAAAGGAGATTTCAGCCAGTATCGCTCAAGGCTGGTACACTACATGTTTGTGCTTTTTTTTAACCAATCCATATTCTTATCTGTTAATTGTTCACAAAAAGTCATGCATGGTTTTCTTAAAATTTTTTACTAGAGCTTTTCAAAGTCTAAAATGATTTACATTTTTTCCCGCATCCTAGTCTTTAGTCAATTCTCAATTCGCATATTCTTCTAGTAATTTTGTTCTCTGGTGCTTTACTTTTCCTATACTCGTGGTTGACAATATTCTTTATGAACAAAGTTGCTCTATGGCATGCATATGAATTTTTTTTTTTTGAGTTTTCGTTTCATCACTTTTGCACGTTTAATGGACACTGGTGATTTATTGCTTGCCCTTTTTCATTGGTTCTTTGAAGAAATATGGCTTGGATGGGGCAACAAACACCAACTTTATTTAGACCTGTTATGAAAACTTACATAAATTTGCAAAGAAGAAAATACATACGAAGAAGAGGAAGAGAGAAAAGAAGACTGCTTCACCAAGATTCCAGTAATAATAACTAGGTACAAAAGATACTATATATAAAACCTTACCACAAGAGAAAGACTAGAATACCTCTAATAGTAAATAAACATAAATATAAATACAATTTCAACAACCCCCTCAAACTCATGATGTTACAGTAGGAAGCAACGAGAGTTTGTCAAGAAGAAAATGAAAACACAACATAGTGTGTGACTTCATGAAAAAATCAACCAATTGAATAGTAGAAGAAACAAAAGGTAAGGAAATAGGCTCAAGTTAAAGATGGTGGAGCATAAAATGACAATTGATCTCGATATATTTGGTCCGCTCATAGAAAACAAAATTGTGTGCAATCTGAATGACAATCTTATTGTCACAATATATTGAAGTTGGAGCAGAAAATGAAATGCCTAGATCGGCAAGTAATCATCTCAACCATACTATCTTTGACGTAATGGTAGCCACAATACGATATTCAGCCTCGACGGTGGAATGAGAGACAACGTTCTGTTCTTACTTCTCCAAGAGAGTAGGGAATTACCCAGAAAGACACAAAATCAGTTGTGGATTTATGATCCGGCCTTATATCTTTTGACCGAATCATCAACCTTAGTTTTAATGTTGTATACCCACCGACAACCAACGACACACTCTTACCGGTTGGTAAAGACACAAGAATCCATGTCCTAGTTTTATGCAATACAGAAAGTTCTTCATTCATAGTTTGTTACCAAATAGGATCAAGTGTAACCTCTTTATAGGATGTAGGTTCAGACAAAGAGTGAATAGAAGATAAAAATGAACAAAAATCAGAGAATGAACAAAAATCAGAGGAATAACAAATTTGAGGAAAACCAAGGCGATCAAGACACTTGTGTGGAGACATAACCGAAAGAGTTGGAGGCGTTGTACTTGCAAAGGAGTTAGTCTTGTTCCTAAAAAAAAATAAGTGTGGATAATCGGCGGGGGTGCAATTGAGGCGAACAATGAATGTTTGAAGTGAGCATGTCATGAATATAAGAACCACTTGAAATATCATTTGGGAAAAAGGATCAATATAAATTTAGCTAAATTTATTAAATATCTTAGAAGTGGAAGGAATGCAACAGAAAAGAATATGCTCAAGGAAAAACCATATATGCCTTACATACATACAATCTTTTTTGCAACAGGGTCATAAACAGTCATACTTTTTTGTCTCTCACCATAACCAAGAGAGATAATAGAATGAGTAGATAACTTATTTTGTTCAGATTTAGGAAGAAAAATAAAACAAGTACAACTGAACACACGCAATGAAAGTAGTCATGAGGTTTACCTTGTCCCTTTTCAAAAGGGGGAAACACTTGAAGTAATACTAGAATGAATTCAATTAATGAGATGAACAACTTTGGGAACTCTCTCCCCCAAAAGAGCTAAGGACAGATGTCAATAAAAGCAATGAACAAGATGTCTCCATAATGTGTTTGTGCTTTTGCTCTATTCTGCTCAGAAGTGTTTACACAAGAAGACTGCCGAGTTTCATAAATCAAGAAAATTAGTATATCTGTATTCCCCACCTAAATCACATCGAAAATATCTAATTATTGTAGAATATTGTGTGTGAATTATGGAACAAAAAATAACAAAGATACAGAAAAATTTAAATCACTACTTCATGAGATAAATCTAACAATATTGAGTATAATCATTAACAAAAGAAATATAGTATTGAGAACCCTCTTTGGTGGGAATGCTGGTTGGCAATGGGGGCAAGACACCACACATCAGAATGCACAATCGAATGGTGTAGAAGAAGTGACACTATTCTTAAAAGGTAAAGTTGTGAATTTAATAAGTTTACAGCCACTACAATTAGAAATATCATGACGACTAAATTTTTTACAGCTAGAAACCTCAAATGAAAATTAGAAACATGTCCAAGACGAGAATGCTATAAATAAAACACAAAAGACTTATGGTTCAAACGAAAAGAAGGCAAATCAATAGAAGTACCAGTCACAACTAGAAAATGCAATTTTTTTCGCACATATAATCCTTCAACCCTATGGCCTGTCCTAATCAGCTTCTTAGAATGAGGATTCTGCACAATACAACCAATGGAGGAAAATTGAACAATGTGATGTACCCAAGTTCAAAAAGTTGACTGATTGAAATCAAATTTAGAGATAATTGAGGGATATAGTAAACATCAGAAAGAGACAGAAGTAAAGTTATAACAGATCCAACCCCTACCACTGACATGAAAGTCCGATTGGCAGTTAGAACAGTTGTAGAGTAAGATATACCTAAAGGTGTCGATAAAGAAAAACATATAGGTGATGAAACAGATACAACATTACTTCCATTTTCCATAGTACAAGTTCTGAAAACTCTTCCTTCCACAACTTTTGCTTCAATACGGAATCGTAATTTTTCAAAACCTTAATCGTGAATAGAAGTAAAAGTAGGCGGAATCTGCAAATCTGCACTGTTCTGGAGTAGAATCTGCATTTTTTATACTTTTATGGGATAGAATCTGTTATGCAATTTGTCGGACTGATTTTTGAAATTTCTATAGCTTCTAAAGATTTATGGCCTTCTCTATAATTTTAGATACTTTAAAAAAAAATAACACAACAGCAACTACAAGCCTTCTTCAATTTACAGATTAACGCCTAGCATCCATATAGTAGTCAAACCACACAAACACAAAAGGGCCGTGTATAGGGGAGGAGAAACTATTCAAGTCAAACCACGAAAACACAAAAGAGCTGTGTATAGGGGATGAGAAACTATTCAAGTCATTGTTCACGACACTGATTGCGCACTGTTATTACATTGTTCATGTTATTGTTCATACTGTAGTGATTGCAAATCCAAAGAACTACTAATGAGATTTGGCTCTGATACCATTAAAACTTACATAAACTTGCAAAGAAGAAAATACATACAAAAAAGAGTAAGAGATAAAAGAAGAATGCTACACCAAGATTCCATTAATAATAATAACTAGGTACAAGAGACACTCTATATAAAACCCTTACCCCTAATAGTAAATAAGCATAAATATAATACCATCTTAACAATTGTCAATTGACACATTGTCAAAATGTCCTTAGAACAATTGAAAATTTGTGAAACATGACGACTTCTTTTTAGCAAAATGAAGAATATATGTCAGCTTCAGTGTAAGGCAAATATGTGAAAGACATTTAATTGGTGTGGAGAGGTATAAAGGTTGTCAAATCTTCTTTCTGAATTAGTGCAATCTTGGTAATCAACTCAAACCCCTATCTTTCAATTGCGATATATTTTCTTGGTTTCTCAAATTTAATTTGCTTTCATATGTTAGGATATTGCATTCTATTATTCGTTAAGTGTGAAATTTTTGAAGATAATGTCTATAGAATTAATGTAGGATGGATTAATGGAGAAATGTATTGAGTGTATTGTGTGATGGATGCATACCCCTTAAATTAAAAGAAAAGTTCTATAGAATGACCATAAGACCCTATGAAGCACGGACACTCTCGAAAACGTGACGTATCCATGTTAGACACGTGTTGGACACAACATTTGTCGGACATTTTTGGACACGTGTCCGATACTCTTTTATCCGTGTCCATAATTAAATGATAAATTTTTAATNGATTTATTGCTTGCCCTTTTTCATTGGTTCTTTGAAGAAATATGGCTTGGATGGGGCAACAAACACCAACTTTATTTAGACCTGTTATGAAAACTTACATAAATTTGCAAAGAAGAAAATACATACGAAGAAGAGGAAGAGAGAAAAGAAGACTGCTTCACCAAGATTCCAGTAATAATAACTAGGTACAAAAGATACTATATATAAAACCTTACCACAAGAGAAAGACTAGAATACCTCTAATAGTAAATAAACATAAATATAAATACAATTTCAACAACCCCCTCAAACTCATGATGTTACAGTAGGAAGCAACGAGAGTTTGTCAAGAAGAAAATGAAAACACAACATAGTGTGTGACTTCATGAAAAAATCAACCAATTGAATAGTAGAAGAAACAAAAGGTAAGGAAATAGGCTCAAGTTAAAGATGGTGGAGCATAAAATGACAATTGATCTCGATATATTTGGTCCGCTCATAGAAAACAAAATTGTGTGCAATCTGAATGACAATCTTATTGTCACAATATATTGAAGTTGGAGCAGAAAATGAAATGCCTAGATCGGCAAGTAATCATCTCAACCATACTATCTTTGACGTAATGGTAGCCACAATACGATATTCAGCCTCGACGGTGGAATGANTGGACACTTATTTGGTGACATGTCCTACACTTCTTTACAACGTGTCTACTACTAAACAATAGACATTTGTTGAAAAGTGATTAACAAAAATTAAAAATTTGAGAACATATAATTACTAATACTAGACATATTAAAGTTNAATGGTAGCCACAATACGATATTCAGCCTCGACGGTGGAATGAGAGACAACGTTCTGTTCTTACTTCTCCAAGAGAGTAGGGAATTACCCAGAAAGACACAAAANGATGGTAGCCACAATACGATATTCAGCCTCGACGGTGGAATGAGAGTCAACGTTCTGTTCTTACTTCTCCAAGAGAGTAGGGAATTACCCAGAAAGACACAAAATCAGTTGTGGATTTATGATCCGGCCTTATATCTTTTGACCGAATCATCAACCTTAGTTTTAATGTTGTATACCCACCGACAACCAACGACACACTCTTACCGGTTGGTAAAGACACAAGAATCCATGTCCTAGTTTTATGCAATACAGAAAGTTCTTCATTCATAGTTTGTTACCAAATAGGATCAAGTGTAACCTCTTTATAGGATGTAGGTTCAGACAAAGAGTGAATAGAAGATAAAAATGAACAAAAATCAGAGAATGAACAAAAATCAGAGGAATAACAAATTTGAGGAAAACCAAGGCGATCA